CACCAAGTCCCAGAGCCGGGAGTCCTACCCTTCCCCTCCACACCCCCCACCCTCTAAGAGTAGTGGCATTTTCTCCCACAGAAGTCCAAGGAAGGGAAGTCCAGGACCTAGAAATTTGGCAAACCCTGGGCCAGAACTGGAGCTGAGGACCCTGGTCACACATTGTGCATCAGGACCACCTGCCCAGCCTCCTAAAATGACATGTAAGTGCTGTGGTCCTGCACCCTGAGAGATGAGCAGAAAGGGACATGGAGGCCACACAGGCCTCCAGAAGGCCAGCACAGAGATCTCAATCAAGTCAGTGAACTTGCAGAGTGTCTGCTCTGGTAGGCTTTGTGGGACTCCCATGGTGGACCAGCCCCCATGTGGACCACAGGACAGATGGTTACCCATTATGCTCACTGAGTGTGCACATCAAGGTTCTTGGCTCTCCTCGTCTCTGCATGTTCCTGGTTTCCCCAGAGTTCTACTTCTGACATCAGGACTCCATTGCCTGTGGAGTCAGCCCTTCTCTTGGCCTAGTGGCTCCGTCCCTAAAATGGGAACAACACTCTATCTGCCTGACTTCCCATCCCCAAAGAGGTGATGCTTACTCCGGGAAAGGCCCTCCCTTGAGGGTATCAATCAGAACTCTTGAGTCTGGGGAGGAAGCAGGCAGGACACCACTCACCAAGTGTGCACACTTCTCCTACACCACTGGGGACTAACACCATTATCTCATCTCACACCTGAGAAATGGAGGCCCAGAGAGGTCAGAAACTTGCCCTCAGTCACACAGCAAGTAGATGTCAGAGCAGGGATTGGATCTTATCTCTGTTTTCCTCCAAAGCTTTGTTCTAGGCCTTTGCAGGTAGATTTACCCTCTTCTCTGCCTCAAGTTGCTCATCCTCTATAAGGCCCCGGGAGGACTTCCAGACCAGCCCCCACCCACAACCATCCATGATTTGCTTTCCCTCAGCACATGCCTGGGCACAAAAAAGGCACCTCCCAGCCTTCACTGGCCTCAGAAGAGCTCTCCAACTCCACCCTGACATTGAGTCCTGCCCCCTCCTCCTGCACAGCCCCTGGGGAATTGGATGCTGTCTCCACCAGCCCCCTGAGAGTGTACAAAGCCAAGTTGGGGGGCAGCGGGTCCTAGCAGCGGTGGGAGGATGGGCCTCTGGCTGCCTCGCAGGGCTCTGAGTCCCAGGCAGATCTCAGCCCCTCCCATCTTCCCCTCCCATCACCCCCTCCCTCGGACGGCTGCAGCCCAAGCCAAAGCCAGGCGCTTTCTCTCTCTCTCCCCCCCTCTCTCTTTCTCTCTCCCTCCCTCTCCCCTGCGATCCCGCCTCCCGCCCTCCCTAGCTCCCTCCCCTCCCCGACACTGCAGCATTCGCCGACTGCAGCTCCAGCCGCCGCCCGCGCCTCTCCCGCCTCTCGCAACCCCGCCGCCGCCAGCACCATGGCCAGCACCATCTCCGGTAGGCACCCGAGCCTCCGGCGTCCTTGGGCAGCGGGTCTGAGCACAGACTATTGTCTGGCCTCGCCTACTGCTGGGCAGGATGTGGAGTGTTTTCCCGTCTTGGACTCTGCGCCTTGAAAGGGCGCGGGCAACCTCCGGGTGGAACCCGCAGGAGACAGGGTTGGGGGCCATAGGGCGGGGATTGCCGCGCCAGCCTAGAGGGCTTGGGCCGCTGGGTAGGGACCACGATAGGGGTGGGGGCGTCGGCCTGGGGGTGTCGTTGCCCCTTCGTGCGCCGCTGTGCCAGGCCGGGCGCGACTGCCGTGCCACGGGGTGGCTCCAAGAATCTGGGTGGGCGCGCTCGAGGGGTGCAGGCATGGTCCTGGGAGGCGTCCGGGGACCGCAGACCCTGGTGGAACTACGCCTTCACGGGGGTCGGAGGGAGGAGCACAGGACCCTTTGCGGGAGTCCTAGCCCGGGGCTGGCGGGGCCTGGACCCTCCCTGCGCCAAAGGAGCGGCCGGGGGACGGGAGAGGGCGCTGCGAGAAGACGGGGGAAGGAAACCTGAGCAAAGCCGCGCCCGCACTTCGCCTCGCCGCCCCCTCCCCTCGCCTCTGCGGGTTCGGGACCACCCTCTGTGACAAGGTGCCACCCGACCCGGTCGAAAAAGCCACTGCCCTTTACTCTGCGGGTTCCGGTGAGGATGGGCGTCTGCCCCTCCTTCCCTCCCCTGCCGCCCCGCCTCCCCAGCTGCAGACCCACCGCCCTCAAGGGCAACGACCCCCCTCCTCCCCCGCCCGCAGCAGGCCTGAGGATCTCGCGGAGGAGCGGGCACCGGACAAGGCGGGAAACGCGTGGCAAATACTGGACGCGAGGGTGCTGCCCGGCAACCCCCCGCGCAAGGACGCGAGGGTCGCTTTCCCTAGAAAAGCTCTGCCCAGTCTAGTCTCCCCAAAACCAGCTTCATCTTTGCACGCGGTGTCAGAGATGGTTGGGTGGGCGGCCTAACAGTTCCACCCGGTCACCCTGCCCATTCTTCCCTCTCCCCTGGGGACCAGTCTCTGCAATCCCCCCTCCCCAGCTAACTAGACTCTCGGGAGCGACCGCTTAGGCCGGAAGCGCCAGAGCTCCGCCCACCCACGTGTGCACCGCGCTGACCCCGCCCCTTAGGGCGGAGGGTTCTGGCCCCTGGTGACTTCTGCAGGAGCGTGGGAGGGGACCGCGGACGTCATTGACTACACCCCCCCCCCCAACCTCCTTGGCGGGGGCCTTGTCCATCTAGACTTCATCCACCCCCTGCCCTCTCCCTGTCATCCCCAATGACACTGGGCAAATGAAGGTGGCCAGTGCTGCCCCAGTCCCACCCTGGGGTGGAGCTGAGTGGCCTCACTCACCACCTGTGCTGAGCTGGGGGACATTCGCAACCACTCCTGGGGAGCAATTATCAGCTTTTCACCCTGTTGGTAAAAACACTGCTCAACAGGCCACCTCCTCATCTTTTGGAGTTGAGCAGAGTGAGGTTAGGTGAGGGAGGGATGAAGAGGAAGCCTTACCCTCGATGGCCATCAGGGCTGGGTCCAGACCCTCCAACCTCAGACCCTATGGCACCACACTGTCTTCCTGGCCAGTCTTTGGGGCACTGCTCACCCATACTTCTTCCTAAGATTTTTCTGGGTGTCCGAGTTACTACTGGTGTCCAGAAGGAGACCATAGGTGCAATTGGTCAGTTTTGTCCAGCTTAGCCATTGCTTCAAAGATGTGGTGCAGTGCCCACTGGAGAAGTGCCCTGGCTGACATCACACGGGGCCGGGCCTTTCCTGTTCTGTCATCAGTGCTGCCCTCGTAGAGTATGGGCCATGTGTTCAGGTGCCTGTGCTCACCACAGCTTCTCCCAGCAAAGTTTGGTAGGAGGGAGGTCTGGCCCAGAAGTGACTGTGTGACACTGCCAATAACTGTGGCCAAAGTGAACCAGCTATGGAGTCCTGAAAACATATCTCTGACTGGAGCAGACTTCCATGCCTCAGTGGCCTTGCAGGTTCACCTCCACCCTGGCCTGTGCTTCCTGGGGGCTGCACTCTGAGGACACCACCTCTTGGTGTCCTTCCCTAGTGCTCAGCTCTTCAGGCACTTTTGCAGACTTGTTCATATTCATCCCCTTATGCAACTCTGGCAAGCTATGAGGCTTTGCACCTGCTACCTAGCCTTTCAGAGGCTCAATTTCCCCATCTGGCTGGCAGTGATAGTGCCAGCACCTCCCCTAGGCTTGTTCTGAGGGTTGAATGAGCTATTTTGGGAAACAGTGCTTGGGCTTGGGCCTGCCAGGAGGTGAGTGCCCATGTCCATGCCAGGCAGTGTGACTGTTGTAGCCACATTTCCCAGAAAAAGGTGAATGCTGCTGGCAATTCCTGACATGTTGGACTCCCAACTCTGACTAGTGAGAGAGGGACAGACTGGATACAACCTGCCATGTTGGGCTCCCGACTCTGACTAGCAAGAGAGGGACAGTCTGAGTGGCAACAAGCTCCATCTGTCAAGAGGCAGCAAGCAGCAGCCTCCAAGGCCCTTCTAGGGGTGAATGAGAAGCTGTGATAGGCTCACTTCCCTCATAGTTCTGGAAAACCTTCCCATCCCCCATGAGGCTCCCAACAGGAAAGTTCAGAGGCCTGGGCTCCTGACAGGCTCCCATCTTGGCATGCTCTGTGACTCTGGGAGGGCCACTTGCCCTCTCTGAGCCTTCTTCACCTCTGTAGAAATGAGGTTAATGAGGGTGTCTGCCTGGGGTGGCTGGTCTTGAGAGTCAGTTGGCAGGAAGGGTGTAGCATGCCCACCCCGGGCCCCTTGGACGACTATTACTGTTATCACGCTGCTGCTATATGCTGACCCAGTGCCTTCTAACCCTTGCTTGTCTGGGATATCATCATCCAAAAGGCCAATATGCATTTTTGCATGTTTAACATCTAGTATGGGGGGGTGGCTGAAAGTAATCCAGTTCATAGTAGAGATTGTTTTTTAATGACTTTCTGAAGTCAGTGATAGGGAAGGAAGAGAGGATCTTGTGAAGACAGAAAAGGAAGAGTGTTCCTGCTGCAGGGGTTTCCTGGTTAGAGCTACATCTGTGGAGAGGCCTGGGCCTCCATCCACTCTCCCCTCTATAATGAGAGGAACTTGAAGCCTCTCCCATCTTGCACATGACTAGGCTCAGTCCTGATCTCCAGCCTGGGTGCAGGCTTCCCCCTGCTGGTATTCTCTCCAAATTTACCCGTTCCGGACTGCCATGCAGTCCCCTCCGACCAGCAGCCAGACACACAAGTCCTCTCCTGGGGAGCGCCCCTCCCACTGGGCTGCTACTTTTCAACTTTTTATTTATTTATTTATGACTTTCTGGGTCTCTGTTGCTGCGTGCAGGCTTTCTCTGTTTGCAGCAGGTGGGGGCTACTCTCTAGCTGCAGTGCACAGACTGGTGGCTTCTCTTGTTGCAGGGCACAAGCTCAAGGTGCACAGGCTTAGTTGCTCTGAGGCATGTGGACCCACCCCAGACCAGGGATCCAGCCAGCATCCCCCGCACTGGCAGGCAGATTCTTATTCACTGTACCACCAGGGAAGTCCTAAAGTTACCTTTTAATGACATAAGTAATACACAACTAGATTCTGCTTCTGAAAAAGCAAAATTGATAAGTCAGGCCAAAATCCCCTTTGAGGCCTGCCTCTACCTGGCCCTCCTCAGCCTCCTGAGCCAATGACCAAGTCACATGTCTCTGCCCTGTTTCCCCTCTGAGACCCCAAAGGCCCTCCTTGCTGCTTGCCCAGGATTCCTCTGTGCTCCTTTCAAGGCTCCTTGGGCTCCCTCCAGAAGGGTCTGGGTCATCAGGATGTTTCGATCCAATACCATCATTCTATGCACTGGCTGGTGGAAGACCCTGCTCACAGCATACTATTCCCTGAGACAGGGGCTGGTCACTTCTGTCTTGAGTCCTATTTCTATGCCAGCGCTTTCCCCAATTTCATGTTAATTCAATTTTAAAACACTATCTTGTATGAAATTTGATCAGAAAGTTTTCTGTCCAAACTGTCTGCCGCATGGAAGCATGCTGTGGGTAACAATTCTTGAGAGCCAGAGTCCTTCTCCTTGGAGTGTCTCTCTGGAGACCCCTAATAGTTTCTCCAGCTAGGGAGGAAAGCCTGGGGGTCTGAGGCCCCTAGTCTTTGGGACCTACTGTGGGGGTGGAAAGAACACAGACTACCTGGGTTGACATGGAGGAGCTCTAAACAAATCACCCTAGCTATCTGGGCCCACTCTTGGTTGAGTGGGGGCGGGGTGACAATATGGCTTAAAGGATTGTTGAGAACCATTGAGTGAGGCATCACACCCATGTGTCTACTTTGGGGCCTGGTTTGTGTGAAGAGACCACGAACAACCCAGTTATTTTCACTCTGAGAGCGGGCACCTCCCCTTCCCTGACAGGGCCCAGGGCTTCAGCAGGCTTACCTCCTTTTCTGGTTGGGTACTATGGGCATTGGCTGGGGGCACTCACCCTTGCAAGGGTAGAGGGAGGGGCGTGGTGCTGAACGGACAGCTCCCTTCACTCTGGGTTTTGAGAGGCACCGGTGTGTGTCTAGTGAGAACCAGGTTTCATCCCAGGGTGGCAGAACTACAGGGCAGGTGTGGGGACAAGAGGGTCTGAGGGCTTCACCTAAGTGCATAGGCCAAGAAAATGCTGCCTGCGGAAGCTCTACATCTGTGCTGGCCCAGTCATGAGTGTGGTGGTCAACCTCTCTACCGACTGGGCAAGTATTCATGAGAGGGAAAGGGGAGGAAGGAGGAAGTCCAGGGAGGGGCAGAGAGAGGTGAGAGTCAGGAAGATACACAGTGACAAAGAAACAGTGAGACGCAAAGATACAGTGAGAGGTGGGGACAGATGGAGAGCCAGAAAGACAAAAGGAAGCAGAGACACAGATAGATGAGGCAGGGGAGACAGACAGAAATGCCAAGAAAGCGAAAAGGAGGGAGAGGGAGACAGAGACATGGTGGTTGAGGTGCAGGAACTCAGAGACAGAACAATGCAGGGCACCGGGGGAGGCGTGCCCAGGGGAAGACAACTAACATCCAGGAGGGAGGAAGGGATGCACAGTCAGAGATGTGGGACCCAAAGAGCATGATCCATGGGTTCCCAGAGAGGCGCCTTAAGGGAGTGATGGGGGCAGGGCAGGGGGAGGCCTGGGCTGCCAGGGAGGTGGGGCCAGAGGAGCGATGGGCTGGCGCCCGCTCAGCCTGGCCTCACGCCCACAGCATACAAGGAGAAGATGAAGGAGCTGTCAGTGCTGTCGCTCATCTGCTCCTGCTTCTACTCACAGCCGCACCCCAACACCGTCTACCAGTATGGGGGTGAGTGCCTGGCCCCTGACCTGCCACTGCCTGCTGCCACCTGACTTCACTGCCCCCCTCCCATGGCATCTGTGAACCCTTCTGGTTGACTGGCTTCTGGAGGAGGGTCCCTGGGGGAGGGGCCGGTTCTGGGGGCCCAGTCCTGGAGTCCCACGTGAGAAGCTTCACCCCTTCTCTCAGCCCTTGACTTGGATGTGTGCTCAGCCTCCCCCCTCCTCCCCCAGCCCTCCTGAAGCACCCACCTGCTCTTGCCCTGCAGACATGGAGGTGAAACAGCTGGACAAGAGGGCCTCCGGCCAGAGCTTTGAGGTCATCCTCAAGTCCCCTTCCGACCTGTCCCCGGAGAGTCCCGTGCTCTCCTCCCCCCCCAAGAGGAAGGACACCTCCCTGGAAGAGCTGCAGAAGCGGCTGGAGGCAGCTGAGGAGCGGAGGAAGGTCAGGAGCCGCCCCTCTGGGTCCTGATGAAGATGGTCAGGAGGACTTGTAGCCACAGACCGAGTCCCCAAGGTGCAGGGTTCTCCAAGCATCTGCTGGGCTGCAGGCCTGTAGCAGAGAGAGTCTCACATCCCTGGACTACCCTCTGAGCCATCAGAATGAGATGGGGGAGGGAGGAAGGATTGCTGGGTGGCAGCCACTGGAGGAGACAAGAACCCAACATTGTTGGGAGGGGTGCCCTCGGCCATACTGGCCAGATGGGAAGATCAGGAGGTAGCCCCAGGCGGGGCTCTGGGAGAGGAGGCTGGGTGGGCACCCTCCTGAGCAGGGGAGCTCAGGGTGCCCCTGGTAGAAGCGGGCCCCCCCTCCCCTTCTCACACCAGACTCTCAGACTGAAACACACACAGAAAACCCTATGCTTTCAGGAGTGCTGTCCTGATGCCCAAGCCCGCTGGGCAGGGGTAGCAGCTCTATCCACCCCCCTCACAGCAGGGCCGGTGAGACTTGGGAGCCCAGGCTTTTCAGGGCTACCTAGTAGTCACTGGCTCCTGAGTGGAGCCTGGCAGCCTTCTGAAGGAGGCTGAGGGAGGCTATTACCTCTGGGGCTCTTGGGTCTCCCCCTGGGACTGCCAGCAGTGCCACCCTCCTCCTTCTGACTCTTCCCTTCCCCAGCGGCCCTGAGGGCCCCTCCACCGCCCCCAGCCCCTCAGGGAGTTCGGAACCTGGTGTGTATCAAGCACCTACTTTGTGCTCAGCGGGCAGACCTTTGAAGAAGAGACGGGGTGGCGGGTGGGGGAAGCTCAGTAACAGTCCACAAACTTAGAGCTTCTTCCACTCCTCCAATATTCCTTAGGGCAGCCCGGACTTTGGAGTGGGATTGAGAGGGGGCGCCCGGAGTCCAGCGGGGAAGGGGCAGCTCTGCGGCCGAGGGTGGACAGGAAGGGCTTGTCTGGGGATGAGGTGGTCACCCTAGCCGACGGCAGGACAGTGTAGGCCTGAGCTCTCACCGAGGACGAGTCCGGTGGGCTCGGGCTGGGCAGCGGGTCCCTGACAGCAGCGAGGCGGGGTGGGGGGTGTGCCCGGAAGGGTGGACCCGGCCGCCCCTCACGCTCGCCCGCCCGGCACCCCCCACCCAACCCCCCGCCGCGCAGACACAGGAGGCTCAGGTGCTGAAGCAGCTGGCGGAGCGGCGCGAGCACGAACGCGAGGTGTTGCACAAGGCGCTGGAGGAGAACAACAACTTCAGCCGTCTGGCCGAGGAGAAGCTCAACTACAAGATGGAGCTCAGCAAGGAGATCCGCGAGGCGCACCTGGCGGCACTGCGTGAACGGCTGCGCGAGAAGGTGCGCGCCCGGGCCTGGCCCGAGCAGTGGGTGGGGCCCGAGCAGGGGGCGGGGCGAAAGGCGGGTGGATCCGAGCAGGGGGCGGGGCCCGAAGCAGGAGGTCCCCAAGTGCTCCTTCCTTTGGCGGTGCCAGGCCACTGCACCACCAGCACTCCCACAGTCCGGCCTCCCCATGATTCCCTGTCCTGCTAGGGCCGGCTAGGGTGAGGGGAACCCCTGCCCAGGCCGGAGCCCCCTCCCTGCGAGTGGGACTGGGTTAGTGCCAGGGAGCCCCGCAGCCGGCACACCTGGGAAATCCCTTGAGCCACAACGCTCTGGTCTGGACACAACCCCAGACTCACTGAGGGCCAGCCCCCACCCTCAAGCCACACTTTCGGTTGGTGTCTCAGGCCTCTCCCTGCCCTCTGTTGCTCCTGGTCGCTAAGCGTGTCCTCATTGGTCGCATCTGCATCACCTCGGACCGAACTAGTCTAGGGAGGAAAGGACCCTAGGGTCCCCAAGCCGGGAGCGGGGCCGAGGGCAGGACACGCAGAGCCCAGGAGTACTGGGAGGGGCAGGACCCGGTCCCTCCCGGCTGCAGGGCCCCGCCCACCACGCCCTCCCGGCTTGAGAGCCCCGCCCACCCCGCCTGTCCTGGCAGGAGCTGCACGCGGCCGAGGTGCGCAGGAACAAGGAGCAACGCGAGGAAATGTCCGGCTAAGAGGCCTTCTGGACTCCGCGACGCCTGGATCCCGAGATGAGACAGGAACACATCTGGGTTTCGGTTTTGTTTTGTTCGACTTTAGATGCAACTTTTGCTCCCGTTCCTCCCTCCCCTCCTGCCCTCCCAGCTTCAGCTTCTCTTTCCGCGCTCCGAGCTGTCTGGTCCTTGTGGCAAGGCTTTGACCACAGGCTCTCTCTGGAGGAGCCCCCAGGGCGTGGCACACGGTCCCTCAGTTCAGGCCCAAGCTGGGCAGCGGCTGGGTCCCCTCTTGGTAACCCTCTTAGCAGACGTGGTGGCGACCTCAATAAATCCAGCGATGGTGGCAGGAACACTCGGGTCCTTATGAGCACCTTGTCACTTAGGGCACGTCCTCTGAGCCAACTCCGCCCGCAGGCAGAGGCACCACCACCTGCACGTACTCCCCTGGAAGAGGGGCTGGGCACGCGGGAGGGGGCAGAGGAGGAAAGACTTGAATGGAGGAGGACTCTGGGCAGTGGGGACCGGGTATCCAGTCACAGGCCAGCCTTGGGAGCTGCGTGTGCAGCGGTGCTTTCTGGAACTGGTGGGTAGGAGCTGCAGTGTGCTGTAATGTGGTGGCACAGGGGTCCTCAGAGACCCCTTGGCCTGAGGTTGGCACCCTTGGCTGTCCTGGGAACCTTCATTCATTGCACTTGGCTGGAGAGGTCACGGGATGTGGTTTGGCCTGAGTCTTTAGGGGAGTAGGCCGGCTCCACTGGGACCGTGAGCAAACTGCTGTGGTCTAGAGGGCTGTGGGTAGCATGGCCACCCCTGCCGGCCCCTTCTCCCAGAAGGGCCTTCTTCTCTCTGGCACGGCGCCTCTGTGGGGACAGCCGGCCTCCCACTGTCCCTCCTTTCCTTCTCCAGGCTTTGCACCCTTGGAGGACCTGTCTGTAGAGCCCTTTAGAGTCCTAGCTCCCTCCTGTGTGCCCTCTTCTTTGTTTAAAAGATGCCCCTATCTGTTTCCAGCCACAGGGCTTTCAGGTGGCCAGGTGGGGGAGGGTGGCAGCCCCAAGTGCCCCTCTGGGAGCCCTAAGTAGATATTAGGGGATAGAGGACCAGTGTCTGAAGGTTCAGATGTTGGAGGGCAAGGGTCAGGGTTCCTCAAGCTGCCTCCCCACCTGCCCCATCTTTCCATTTCTGGCTGGTGACCCCCTCTGGCTAGCCTGCAGATTGGAGGCCTGACTTTAGGCCTCTCCTGCCAAGACCCTCCTTGGCTGGGTTCCTTCCCCTCCCTCAGCCTGGTCCAGACCCCCTGGTGCTGGCCTTTGAGGATATGGCAGCAGCCTCCCCTTTTCCATGCAGCCCCAGCCCCACGGTTGGATGCTTGAGGGCCAAGTCCCTGCTGGCCAACCACTTGGTGGAAAGTGTGAGGAGATTCTCGCAGGAAGGACTCAGAGCCGGTGCCACAGAGGCCAGATGGCAGCCCTCAGTGCCCCTGGCTTTCATTCCACAGAAACCCACAGTGTCACTGCTGGTGGCCTCCCAGAGCCAAGCCAGAGAGCACAGGCAGGTAGTGACCCCTGCAGTGGGCTTGGGGAAAGTTGGGACCTGTGCTCACCCCTCTGTCCCCACCAAGACAGCCCTGGAGGGAGTGACAAGCAGGATTGGACCCATCAGGTTGGGACCCATCGGTGCCCACAGGCAGCTTCTGTGGACTCAGAAAGGGGAGCGGAAAGAGGACTAAGGGTGGGATTTTTCTGAGCCACGGCAGCTCTCTCGTAGCAGAAGCCCTAATGTCATACACACCCATCTCATCCACGTAGTGAAAGTGAACTTAAAAATGAACAATTAAAAAAAAATGTGTGTTTAAGAAATGGTTGCACTGTCCCAGTGTGTCCTGCAGCTGTGGGGTTGCTCGCTGCCTGTGCATCAGTGAGAAAGCCAGCTCTCTCCTGCTGGAAACCCCAACCTTGGGTATTATCACAACTGTGAGTCGTTCTTGTGACAATGGCAATTTTAAGAAAGAAGCACAGAAACAGCACACACGCCAACTTTCACCTCTGGAGACCCAGGAGTTGGTGGAGGCAGAGGGAGGATGCTGCCCTGGCTCCCCCAGGGCTGAGTCTTCCTGCGGGCCAGGCTCTCAGGTTGCCACCGTGGGGTCGGAGTTGCCTTCTCACCATGGCTGTGGGTCTCGCTCAGGCTGGGAGGGTGGTCCTGGAATCCCAGGGTGTGCCCCGTGGCTCTGTGGGCCCTGCTGGGCAACTTATGGTTCACAGACACATATCTGGCCCTCACGTGGGGACCTGGAGTGGCACAAAGGGACCAAGTAGATATTCTAACTCACACTGGTGGACATGACTGTACTCCGTGACCTGAACTGCCACATGGGGTGCCCGGCAGGGATCCCTCAGAATTCTGAGGAGATGGCATGTTTGGTAGATGTCCACACTGGACCGAAGACACAGATTCTGGAGAGATGCCTGCTCCCCAGGACCCAGAGAAACCCATTCACCTCTCCCCTCACCCACTGCCCTCTCCTGGGGCAGTCCTGCTACTTCCCCAGGCTCCACGGAGCTCTCACCATTTCCCCTCCATCCCCTGCCCAGGGAGAGGTGGGGAAAATCGGAATCCAGGACACACAGCCTGCAGTAAAGTGGAGACATCAGAAATCTGCAGGAGCAGAAAGAAATACATTGAAAATACTTTTAGGAGGTGTGAGTTGTGCGTGCCTGTCATCTGGGTTCACAGGCACATGCTTGCCAACATGGCCCTGGAATTCTCAGAGAAGCAGCTGATCACAGGTCAGGGTTTCTTACCCCTTCGGGGGCTCTGGTAAGGCATTGAGAGGCAGTCACCACATGGAACCTCTGACATGAGGATATGATGGGGAAGCCTTCCCAGAAGAGCAATCACACTTTTAAAATTTTTAATTGGAGGATAATTGCTTTACAGTATTATGTTGGTTTCTGTCACACATCAACATGAATCAGCTATAGGTATGCATATACCCCCTCCCTCTTGAACCTCCCTCCCACCTCCCACCACATCCCACCCTTCTAGGTGGTATGAGCCCAAGTTTGAGTTCCCTGAGCGATCACACTTCTTAACAGAGAAGCATAGGTGGGACTCATTCTGGGGAGGAGTTAGAGCTGTACTTAGTACCTATTGCTGTGAAACAAATGAGTCCAAGCAGTGGCAGAGGACAAGAAACATCCCCTCAGTCTCTTGTCAAGTCAGGAACTCAGGAGCCAGGTCATTCTAGTATGGGGCCTCTCAGGAGGCTGCAGTCAGGACAAGGGTGGAGGCCCTGGCTGTCTGGAGGCTGCCTGCAGCAGGAGCACCCACTTCCAGGTTGGCTGGCTCACATGGGTGCTGGCGGGAGGCCACCTCACCTCACTGAGACTGTCCACCGGCCTGCCTGAGCAGCCTCACGACTTGGCAGCTGGTCCCTGGGGCAGCTGCACGAACTAGCTGTGGAAGCAGAAATGAGTCACGAACAGCCCACCCTGGGGTGGGGGTTGGGGTTAGGCTCCCCTTTGGCAAGTGGGAATGTCAAAGACCCCACGGACAGGTTCCAAACCACCTGACACTCTGCCTCCAGGACCCTGTGAGTTCTGGACACAGCGGGAGCTGTCTGGTGCCTGGGGGCGGCAATGGAACAGGGTGTGCAGCAGGCCACGTGGGCTGGAAGTGCAGAGGCCATCCCCAGTGGGCCTCCCTCCAGCCCCTCACACGTCCCCCCAGCCCAGCGAGCTGCGTAGGACAGAGGGCAGGGTCGGCACCTACACGCTGCTTCTCTTCCTGCTGAGGAAAAGTGACTGTGCTCTTCGGCAGCTGTGTTAGTCTTCTAGGATGCCTTCAGTGCGCCACAACCAGGGGCTTGAAGCCTCAGAAGTGCCTCCTTTCAGTTGGAAGTCAGCTGTTGCCTGGCAGGGAGGGGAGGGAAAGCGAGGACAGGGCCAGCCTCCAGCTCCCAGACTTGGCTGTTGGGAAACTCAGTGTCTCCAACCCCCGCAGGGCTACTGAAGAACAGGCTTGGGCCTGGACCACTTGTCATCAGACAGGGGCCCACAGAGCCTGTGTGGGGGCCCCTCCTGCTGTGAGACGGTTGTGTCCCCAGCACTCAGCATGTTGGGAAGGGGACAGGTCCAAGAGGGGTGCTTGCAGCCCGGCTGGCGGGCAGGACCCAGCTTGCGGACAACTCCCCCGCACAGCTGGCCTGGCCTCTTTTTTCCTGAGTGAAGCCCAGCTGCCTTGAGCTCTCCGTGGTGACTTGAACTCTGGGAAGGAAGTGTTTGGATTTCCACCCCCAGCGAGTGGCTGGCGTTCTAATGAGCCGGGGACTCCCTAGGGATAGGGAACTTGAGCTGGGGCTCTGCTGGACACCAGCTATCCTTGGCTTATGGATACATTACTCAGGTCTTTGCCTCTCCCTGGGTGTCTGTCTTACAGGACATCACTGTCTGAATTAGGGGCCCCCACTCCAAGATGGGAGCTTGCCTGGTGGCTCAGATGGTAAAGAATCTGCTTGCTAATGCAGGAGACCTGGGCTTGATCCCTGGGTCACGAAGATCCCCTGGAGAAGGGCATGGCAACTCACTCCAGTATTCTTGCCTAGAGAATCCCATGGACCAAGGAGCCTGGCAGGCTATAGTCCATGGAGTCGCAGAGTCAAACACAACTGAGATAGGAACACACATACAGACTTCAACATGACCTCATTATTTAACTAATTACACTTGCAACCACCCTAGTTTCAAATGAGATCACATTCTGAGGGCCTGAGACCTGGGATGTCAACACATCTGTGGAGGACACAATTCAACCAGACAGCAGTTGCAATTATGTAACTGGTAACTTTAAAACATCCATGCACTTATTTGTATATTCAACACGAGTGAAGTGCATGTTTATTGCGTGTGTCTAACTCCAGAACAGTGATGGATTTGAAGACCCAGCCCCTCCCTGTGAGAACCTACATGTTGTTCAATAAAACCTTACATACAGGTGGTAATTTATGATTTTGCAAAGCATGTTTTTAATCTTCACAAAGTCCACTTTGGGGAAAATAAGAGTAGATATTATCTCATGACAATGTTTTTTTCTGGTTACAAACATAATGTTCCCTGTATCACTGCAAAGTATAAAGACAAAAATCTTGATCTCTAAACTCCTTACCCTGGAGAGGACTACCCTGCCAGCGGTGTTGAAGGGATCCCAGCTCAGACCTCTGAGACATGCCCACAGTGACGTCTGCACCTTTCCTGTCCTCATACGTATCACGTCAAGCGCCAGACAATCATCTATTTCATGGATGTACTAGGAATTTTGAGAAAACTTCCCCAAGTTTTTGGCTTCAGTGAACTCTTACAACGTTACAAATTTAGAGCCCCCCCCCAATAAAGAGCTGTTTATGTGGGCTTTATGAGTCAATGGGGACCACACTGAAAATTAAAACAGAGAAATTTAAAAAACAGTAATTAATTTAGAAACTAAAGACCTGGATGAGATGGTTGGATGGCATCACCGACTCAATGGACATGGGTTTGGATAGACTCTGGCAGTTGGTGATTGATAGGGAGGCCTGGCGTGCTGAGGTTCATGGGGTCACAAAGAGTCAGACACGACTGAGCAACTGAACTGAACTGATACACCTGTCACACATTAACATCTTAAAATGAAAAACAAAAAAATAAAGTTAAAAACAATGACAGTTTCCTAAAAAAAAGAAGAATCAGTGAGAATGGTTGAAGCATATGAGAAAATCTAGCCTCACATAGACACACGGTTGGAAAAAGTATATTTTAACATCTTGGTCTTTATACTAAATGAGGGATAGTTTCTTTTCTTTTTTTTTTCAATAACGGAGTCCATTTGTTTTCTGGCTTATTTATTTGTCTTAACTCTTTTTTTTTTTTCATTTATTTTTATTAGTTGGAGGCTAATTACATCATTACAGTAGTTTTTGTCATACATTGAAATGAATTAGCCATGGATTTACATGTATTCCCCATCCCGGTCCCCCCTCCCACCTCCCTCTCCACCCGATCCCTCTGGGTCTTCCCAGTGCACCAGGCCCGAGCACTTGTCTCATGCACCCAACCTGGGCTGGTGATCTGTTTCACCCTAGATAATATACATGTTTCAATGCTGTTCTCTTGAAACATCCCACCCTCGCCTTCTCCCAGAGTCCACAAGTCTGTTCTATACATCTGAGTCTCTTTTTCTGTTTTGCATATAGGGTTATCGTTACCATCTTTCTAAATTCCATATATATGTGTTAGTATACTGTAATGGTCTTTATCTTTCTGGCTTACTTCGCTCTGTATAATGGGCTCCAGTTTCATCCATCTCATTAGAACTGATTCAAATGAATTCTTTTTAATGGCTGAGTAATATTCCATGGTGTATATGTACCACAGCTTCCTCATCCATTCGTCTGCTGATGGGCATCTAGGTTGCTTCCATGTCCTGGCTATTATAAACAGTGCTGCGATGAACATTGGGGTGCACGTGTCTCTTTCAGATCTGGTTTCCTTGGTGTGTATGCCCAGAAGTGGGATTGCTGGGTCATATGGCAGTTCTATTTCCAGCTTTTTAAGAAATCTCCACACTGTTTTCCATAGTGGCTGTACTAATTTGCATTCCCACCAACAGTGTAAGAGGGTTCCCTTTTCTCCACACCCTCTCCAGCATTTATTGTTTGTAGACTTTTGGATAGCAGCCAGGGATAGTTTCTTAAAAGTTGTCTGCAGAGTGAATCTGAAACCGTATCAATAAACTTCATACTCTTACATTGGCTAGAGTGGTGTGTACTGAGCTTGAATACAACTTTCACCCACACACAGTTCTGTAACACCCAGTGCTGCCC